TATGGAACATCAATGATATTTTATTATCTTAATTATAAGAAATTTTAAATATTGTGATAAGACGGATTAAAATAAATAATTGTTAGAATATTCACAATATGACGCAATTACACTATCTTATAATCAGAAATGTTAAACACTTCACAATGAGGTTCAGTGTGTTTCTTGTAGGCCAATATGTGACTGCTTCTTACTCACCTGTCACCATACATCATAATCATAATTATGGCCACACTCCACAAATACATCTTAAATCTAAGCGTTATTAAATAAAAACAATTCACCCACTGTTCTTATTACACTTCTAATGGTAAAAGGTATACAGGCTTTTCAACAAACAAGGTTATACTTTGTTTATAAAATTCATAATACACTTAGGCAGATACTAATAATTTAGTGTCCATCATTTCTCATTAAACAGCATAAGGAAAACGGGTAAATATATTTATAAAACCCTGGATATAGCATTGTTAAATAAATTAGGGGTTAGGATTTGAAGTTCTCACAGCGTTGAGCATGAAGATGGCTGTCTTCTAGGTTTTAGTACCATGTGGTCTGGTAGAAGGACCTCTGAAACGTCGGTAAACTTCTACCAGACTACACAGTTATCAACACAGAAGACAGCCATCTTTGAACTTTGGGGTTACTTTCACTAAGGCTGCAGAATGAACAATCGGACGTAGGAAAAAACTACAATTAGTTACAGCTGAAATGATAGTAAAGCAAGTATTTACTTCAAACAATGTCTTCTTAAGAATTTAGCTTCATATCGTAAAGTTACATTCAATTTTGAGATAGGGTATTAAGCAGAGTATGAAATGTACTTTATTGCATTTTGAGTGGACTTAAATAATTTTCTTAGTCATAGTGCGCAGTAAACTAGTCTGTCTTTCGGAAAATAAGCCTATGCACACTACTGATTTCTTAGAATTAAATAAAAACTATAAAATATCGATGACAAACTAGTGACAAGTGGCCCAATAATGAAAATTCTGTTTTACTGTTAATTAACTAACTAACTAGATGGCTTATGGAACCTGAAGGTTTATCACCGAACCAACCAAAGCCCTCATGTTTTACAGAAGTAATTTATGCACACACACACACTAAGAGATTAAATGCATTAACAGTTGATTAGAAAAAAATGCTATAAGAAAATAATTTAAGTTATTCTCCCCTACAAACCCCCCCCCCCCCAAAAAAAAAATGAAATCCTAAGCCATATTTGACCCTGTTAAGTTACCTGGACAATAATAAAGTGGATTATCAGGACATGCCTAGTTCATACTATGAAATGGATGTGTGCTCTTTCTAATAATATTTAGATAAGGAAGAACCAACATCAATATCAGTAGCGTTACTGATTTATGAATCAGCGTGATCAATTGGAGTACTGCTACTCCTTGAATATGACAGAAGTACAGATTACACTACACACATTTAACAAATCCTTACTTTAACCACCTTCAAAGTAAATTAACTACAGAATGGTACTCTTCACTTCAACTTCAAGATGGTGACATCAGTGTCCTCCATCTTCTATAATGTAGCAATGCTACATAATTCTTTCAAACATCGTCACCCAAATAAAATTCTAAATATGCTATGGCTTCACAGCCAAATATTTCAACACACACAAAACATATACTAAAAGAACTGTTACTGTGTTTAAGAAAATAAAGAAACATCTGTTTTACAATCTGTTACTACATCATTTAATTATATCCAAACACAACCTAACCAGGAAAGTCTAATTTAAATTTCCTTCAAATAACACATTTTGCCATGTTACGCACAGAAACTGGAATTTAATTTGACTACATTCTACTATATGATATGAAGCTTTCGTGGTGGCTTTCATTAACAAAGTCTTCTCGGGCTATCAGCCATGTTAGATGGTGATTAATTGCTGATGTTTCGAGGACCATCTCTGTCCTCATTTTAGAAGCAGCATAGGGTTTAGCAGTTTTCTAGTAAGAATGTCTATATTTCTTTAAGTACCAGAAACTCGCAGAGCTTCTTCTAGATAATTTTTCACCTCATAAGTTGGTCCCTTTTTCACTAGCAGAGAGGTTAATAAAATGAAAGTTTAAAAATACTTTGTGTGATAATTGGAACCCTAAGCTGCTATGGCACAGAACATCTTTTGTTTAAGGGTGAGGACAAAATGCCAACTGCACAGAAATAGAACCAGATTAATCCTATGCTTAGAGTTGCATAAGAATAGGTTATAATAATTCTTATCATTTTACAAATAGAAAAATAACTTATAAAACTATTAAACTGATTTTGTATAGTTGTAGATAAGGCAATAATGTAGAAATTTAACTGAGAGAACAGGGTTAAAGAATGTGGAGATCCAAACTGCACTCAAAACAAGAGTCCAAGGTAGATACTAACTCACTGAATTGTTTGTCAAGTAAACTTGTTTGTTAATTTAAGGAAATATAAATGAATGAGTTCTTGGTTTCCACTATTAAAACTAGTTTTTAATATACATATACACATATATGCATATGAAACTGCTTTCAGCATCTAAATACTCAATTTTAAGTTATATATTACTTAATATGCCATGCGACTGTCATTTGGGATGGCATGAAATTGGTATGAAGAACTAAAATATTAACACCAGTAAATGTCTTGTTACATTCCAAGGTTTTATAAAATATTCTGAAAATGTCCTAACATTTACTGCCATCACCATTTGCCAGAATATGTCTGAACACAACTTTCCTGAAACAATACAAGTTGTGAGACCTTCGAATGGTACATCCCACTCATTCATTTCATGGAAAGAAGGGAGCTCTTTGGTAACATTTTTAAAACAGCTTAAAATACAGAAGTGATGAAGCCATCTTCATTCACAAATACGACTTACCGTCAATTTACTGGTCAGAGCTTGTTTCCTGTAATTGCTATTACACGGTAACATTTTCATCCAGTTATACCTTACAGGGTCAACACTAGTCCATTCGATTTATAATTCATTAGTCCCACGAAAGCATTCAATGAGTTTCAGTCCTAGTGCCACCAAGCCGTCCTGCTTACTGCAAACACATGTCAATGACGTATACAGACTTAAAATGTAAACCACTTACTTCACACATGTGTGCATCACACCGAAACATCAGTTGACAACTGGCCACCTTTCTGCTTGCAATCCGTAATCCACAACAGACTGATTCACACGAAGCACATTAATTAAGCTTAAACACGGCTGACAGCAAACAACACGACGTCGTATAAAAACACCCACAAAATGTTCTGCTATAGCTCGTGAACTTCGAAAACGCATAAAAGCTGTCAAATACGATCTAGTAATCTCAGAGGAGATTATGAATGTTAATTCAGATATCGTCATATCAAAATCAATATTCGTTCCTTCAGATTATTTCACTTACCTTTACCTAGAATCTAGCATACAAGTGTACTCTTACATACAAGTCTTTCATTTACCTGTAATCATAACCAAGACGTTCGCGTGCGACATTTACTGGCAACATATAAACCACTATCTACTGGAAATATCATGAACTACAACTGTCATACTGCACAATTACTGAACTTTGTACAGCTACGTCGATAAAGCAGGGATCTATCCGTTATTCCGGAATTATAAAATATTTAAGATATGAATTAACGGGTGGTGGGTTAAGTTGTAAAAGTGTTTAAAGTCAAGTTTTAAAAAAAGGAAAAACAAATTTTGTAGATTCCCCACAAAAGTATTTTTTTATTATTTTCAAAAAAGACATGTTTATACAATTTATTCAGGAACATAATTGTTGCAGTGCTAATTTTGCTAACTACAGATAACAGGAAACAATTAGCACATTTCGGTTTTACATGTATCCTTTCCCACAATGAAGAGTTACGTTACATCCCTATAATCAACATTACTACCTGCAAAGTTTCGTATTAAAACAGGAGATACACGTGAAAAACAGTCACACATAAACCTATATTAAACAAGCTCCTTTTTCATTGTCTTCAATAGCATTTGGAAGACAATATCACTTTTTCATTGTACAGAAGGTTCCTATAAATTAATGAAATACTTAACAAACTAGATTAAGAAGGTCCATTAGGTCGCTTTTCTTATCCTTGCTAACTGCTAAAGGCCCTATGTAAGAAAAAATGGGGTTAAGCCACTCAGAACCTCTTTCTCAATGCCTCCAACACAATGCCAAACTACATTTTCAACCAGGGAGTCCTTATATCACAACATGCCTACAACCTTGGTGAAGCGTAAACATACATTTCTTTTCCACACCATCTATTTTGCCCAAAATTATTAAATAACTTTGTCAGAATATTATTCTGAAAAAGTTCTGAGAAATGGAAGAAGTCTCTGTCATCTCGGTAACTTTGAAAGGGATTTTCTTTCCTGCCCTTTCAACATTCTATTGATTTATCTCTCTGCCGTTTCCTCACTCCATATGTAGCGGTATGCCTGACCATTTTTGCAGTTGTGGAATTAAAGTTAGAAGTCCATAAAAATTGTTTGTTATTGATTATCAAATGCCAAATTGACTTTATTTTCATATTTGACATCAGCCTCCCTATCTCTAGCTTTTGACAGGCAAATAGCATCAGGAAGACTGTGTTGTTAAATCTTTCTTGAATCTCACTTTATCTTCTCCTTTCGCAAAGAGACAGAGGCTTACTCACTACTACTTCCTATTACTGAAGTGAGTGTACTTTTTTTAGTATTTTCTGGAGATTTTATGGCCACCTTCAGTTCACAGAAATAGGACTTATGAAGGCCCTTGCTGTGGAATAGCCAGTATTGACAAGGACCATGTAACTTATTATTATTATTAAGTGTTCTGTCTTACGACAGGTCCATTGCTCTGCCCAAAAAGAGCTCTCCAGTTGTCCCTATTCTCGGCTTCTCGCTTTAATTCCTGGAACGTCATCTTCTTTCCTTGTTTAAGGTCGTCGGTTAGCTGTATCCGTCTTCTTCCTAGTCCTCTCTTTCCTTCAACCTGGCCTTCGATGATATCACTCATTAATCCATTCCTTCTCATAATATGTCCCAGCCAGTTAGCTTTCCTTCGTGTAATCGCCTGCAGAATGTTTCTTTGCTCGTTGACTCTCCTCAATACTTCTTCATTGGTCACTCGATCCGTCCACCTGATCTTCTCTATCCTTCTCCAACACCACATGTAACTTGCCTCTTGAATAACAACATACAGATTTTATATTCTTCCTTTGGCAGATAGAAAGTGCATGAAGTGTCTGTTCATGATAAATCAAATATTAACAATAAAAAAACGAACATTATTGTAAATATAATCAATTGATTTTATCACAGTGGAACAAGTTGAACATAAGAAATCTATACTAATCACACAAATCATAATTTAACATGGATTATTTTGCAAACGGACTTTTATAACATTATTTGAAATTACATTTTCAACACTACAATATTCGGCGGGTTTCAAATTGTATATTTGACTGTTTTATTTTTTATTTTTTTTGGAATGCTAATTTCTGATATATTACACCATTTCTATATAATAATATTACTCTTCTTAAGTACCTAAATAAATTAAATAAACTGAATCTGAGTAAGTGGCAGTGTGGTAACATCGTTGCAAATTATACACCATGAAAAATATGTACACACGTTTTCAGCCACAATACATTCATCACACTCCAAATTTATGTTGATTTATATTTTAAAATAATTGTTTTAATTTCAATGTTACAACTTATACGACAGACGAATCTGAGATCACTTAAAATTAACTCCTTTCAGATCGCACATCACTTTCCTCACTGTGCTCAGAATGGTTCTAAAAGTTGCTCATATATGGAGCCAGTGGTCCACCTGGACTCGACACTTTTCACTCGAAGATCTCGGGGAAAAAAATTCCTTGGGACCGAATCCTTGTCGTTAGTGAACTGACCCAGAACGTCTGCCCCTAGAAGGTCGCCAGGATCCTGAGAGATCCACCCTCTGCTGCTTCCCAGCGGAAGTGGATCCAGGATGACAGAAGGAGATTGAAGGAAGTCAGAAAAATACGGATTACACGTCACTACACCTCGCTAATGGCGCCAGAGACAAAAAGAAGGAAAATAAAATCAACTTTTTTTAGCTCGTGTCATGGCGAAAACTCTTGGTTTCCACGTCTGAAGCTCAGACCCAACCATAAAAATTTAACGTGACAAATAGTAGTGATATATATGGATCTTGTCACTCACTTCTGTTTTTCGTTGACGTCATATCAAATGTCGATATTTAGCCGAATTATGACTGTGAAAGATTTCTTGTCCCATCGCATAGATTTACGAAGGACTTGGACAAAATCTGGACATGCGCCTTCCTCCCTATTTTCAGACAAACGGTGAAAAGCTGCGTCTGAACAGAGCAGTAGTTATTTTTCCACGTTATTTCTCTTCAGAAATCACTCCATGAGCCGAGCCCTTCTTAAGAAGGCAAAAATCATTCAATCAGACAATAGTCGACCCGCAGATTCATTACACAGGTTTTCATCAAATTCTCCGATCCCACTTGTCATTTGTTTTAATATTATCCTTCGGCCTACGCCTGGTTTTTCTCGTTGTCTCTTATATGAAGATTTTCCTGCCAGGAGTTTGAAGAAGACGATACTTCTCACTAGCAAGTTGGACTTGGAGATGAAGACGAAACTAGTGAAGTGTTACGTATGGAGGAGAGACTTGGACACTCAGGAAGAAGGAACAGAAATACCTGGAGAGTTTTGAAATGTGGTGTTGGAGAAGAATAGAGAAGATCAGGTGGACGGATCGAGTGACCAACGAAGAAGTATTGAGGAGAGTCAACGAGCAAAGATTACACGAAGGAAAGCTAACTGGCTGGGACATATTATGAGAAGGAATGGATTACTGAGTGATATCATCGAAGGCCAGGTTGAAGGAAAGCGAGGACTGGGAAGAAGACTGATACAGATAACCGACGACCTTAAACAAGGAAAGAAGATGACGTTCCAGGAATTAAAGCGAGAAGCCGAGAATAGGGAAAACTGGAGAGCTCTTTTTGGGCAGAGCAATGGACCTGTCGTAAGACAGAACACTAAATAATAATAATATTAAATTTATGAAGAACATGTATAGATGCAAACAAAGTCAACTGACAGTCAATATAAAATTGGGGAAAAAAGTACAGCAGTTTTGCTACACGCCATGTAGGATGCTTGCAGGGAGAGGAGGTATAGCTCCTACTCATTATTGATCTTGGCACTAGATGAGGGTGAGTGGTCAGCATCAAAATCCAGCTGCACTTTACCCCCAGGAAAGGACCCTGGTAAACACTGGATAGGAAGCTGGGTGGACCCCACAGCTGGTCTGGATGCACAGGCTACGGAAAAATCTTCTGCCTCCGTCAGGGATTGAACTCCAGTCATCCATCCCGTAGTC